TATAATATCCTTAATCTGGGTCTCGGTTGGGGTGACACCTAATGGGTAGTAGCTACCTTGATAGTAGAGAGCTGCTCCATCACACTTCACAAGGTCCATAATATTAGGGCTCTGAGTAACAATGCCAGTAAGAGAGTCCCGAAGCAGCATGTCACACAAGAGGGTCTGAGTCCTTAAAACACGTTTTTCCAATAACTGCGATGCCAATTGAAGTTCCATATTCAGCTGAAGCCCAAAGGCCTGCATAAGGAACTCACAAGCATAGCGTAGAGGGAAAGGAATGCATCTAGCAGAAGTATGATGACAAACAACCAGGCCCCAAAGCCTCATTGAGCTACGACCACCGACAGCTTCCTCATCGTTCCCATTGATTATGACTGCCATTACCAGTGAAGCTATCGATCCCATATTAGCCATATACTGTGCATGACACCCGTGGGGGGCACGAAGGGTTGATCCAACTAAACATAGCGGCTGCATTAGCGCTTCATCCTGAATTACCTTAACAGGAGTGGCATGGCAATCCACAATCATCCTAACCCGATTCTGCTTGAACAGGAACCTTGAAGCCTGGGGGATATCAGTAGAAGGATAGTGCAACCCGATATATGGATCCAAGTCTGGCCGCTTACTCTCAGCGACAACCTCTCCATGTTCATCCTCGTGAAATTTATAAACCATTACCCGGTCATATCCAGTCAGTTCCCTAACACTCTCAACGACAGTATCACACAAAAGCTTAATATCTCCACCGGGAAGCGACTGCAACTGCGAGATTGCGCGCACCGCCAACTTCTGGGACTGCACTGCCCCTGCAATGGACAGGGCAGGGTCCTCTGTTCTGGCAGGTTCCAAATCAATCACAATTCCCACATCAATTCTATGCAAAATTGCATAAAAGGGTTTCCCTGAATTCTTAGAATGAATCCAAATGGGGTTTAACAGTGTGATTTCCCGAGCCCCAAAGGCCTTTTCGAGCAGCACCGCACTTGAGGGGGTAAAAAGCGTGCGAACATCGGCTCCAATCGTGAGAGTTTCGGATTTTTCAAGGTTTGGAACTGATTGAGGGGTAATTCCCAGCAAATCCCGCGCGTTTTCACTGTACCCAAGAATCCGAAAAGTGGGTTCATCTACGGCAATCATGCAACCAAAGGGCTGAATATACCCGCCTCTTTGAATTCTCAATAGGTAAGCCGATATCTGCTGCTCGGGAACGGACTGGATGGTGGATTTTACGGACTGTGAGTAATCAAAAGACTTACCGGACTCGCCGGATTGCTCGAAGACAGCGTGGAGGCGAGCATCCTCAGTGTACTGAGCAATTGCTTTGCTGATGGACTCTGTATTTTGGGTTCTTTTATAGCCTGTGCCCGAAGAGTGAACTTGGGTAAGTGAATTTGCCGCTCTGCCCGCCGCAGACATTGAAGGGTCTCCTGTTTCTCTGCTTTCTTACTTCCTTTATCTCTCAATTGAAGTCGGTTTCTGCCTCGAGCACGAAGATGCCGGAGTGCTTGCTACGCGAGGGGCGAAAGATTATTCTCAAAAAAAATAAAATAAAAAATTCAAGGTTTAACAGAGTTCAGAGGAAGTGACGCGCAGACTAGTGTTTTTCTCGTTTGGTGTTACTGATTCTGTGTGTGCAGGCCGAACATAAACAGAACCTTTTCCCCCAATTCTTCTATCTCATTCAATGACAAAAAAGGAAGTGTTTTTCTATTGTCATATGTTATGAGCTGGATTTTCTTGTGGCTGAGGTTGACGGCCTGGCCATATAATTGAGAAAGGCATCAATTGATTAGTGGCTATGTTTTCAAATTGGACTCTCCATGGATATCTGTATCTCAGTGTATCTAATAATTTATCTATAAAATGTTTTACATTATTTATAATAGCCAATTTTATTCACTTTTGTGCCTCTATTTTCTATTTTATTTTTTTCTCATCTTAACACGATACATTAATTGCCTCTTTTTATTTTTAATCATGTCTTTATCTCCTTTTTAAAGACAAAATTCTATTATTCCTTTCGCGTAAGTCATGTTTTCTATTATTCTTGACAAATTTTATTGCAGAAAATTAGTTTATTTACAATAGTAAATACTGGCAGACCCACGTGGTCATGCCCTCACGCCGCTTAACGTCAGGGTCTTTTCTGAAACTTTTTCTCATTTTGCTGGCTCGAGGGGGAATCTTTATCATGACATGAGAAAAATCCGACTCACGTTATTCGCAGACTGTGAAACTTATTGTCCAGTTTTATTAATTAGGAAAAATGGTAAAAACAAACGTCGAAATAAAAAAAATTTAAATAAAGACTCATAACATGAATATAGGTTTTAATAATAATTTTTATAAACTGGTCTCTGTATATAATTTTTTTATTTCTGTGTTCTTTTTTTGCCATTTTTCTTATTAATTAAATCAAGATATACCAAGTTATAAAGCTGATTAAAATATCTTAAAGATGATAATATTTTTTTATTCAAAATATAACTTCTAAAAATGAGTTTCTCAAATTTAAATAGCAAAATCAAAACTAATTTTCTAATGATTTAATAGATAATAACGATTCAACATTTAAGATATAATAAATCTACTAGTATAGTTGGATATAATTGTTTGCTGCGAAGTGATGAATTAAGTCACAAACATGCAGTAGTATTTCATAGTTTTAATTGAAAAAATGTGGAACTTTTAAAATTAAATAATTAAGTGATTATTTTTTTTATAACTCAAAATGTCATCAAATTACTTAAAGGTTGAAATTAATTTTTGTCAGGTCAAAAACATTTAAACTGAAACCTTCTCAATAAATACACTTTCTAAAATTTAAGCTAGACTATTTACTATAAATACCAACAGCTTATTATTCTTAATTGAATTATTATTTAAAAGAAAAAAGTACAATTTGGTATCAAAAGGCACAATTGGCCCAAATATAGCGGGGGCAATCTGGTATATTTGAAAAATTAAATAGTGAATAAATAAATAGAAAGTGGGAGATTCTCTGGACAACCATGGAAAAGCGACAATGATGGCGGCCATATAAGAGTAAGGAGTGAAACAGAGAAGGCGAGCACTGGCGATGATTTTTGTTATTGCAATGTAACAGTAATGACTACTGATGGGTAAGTCGCTCCTTGTCTTCTTGCTGTCAACAGTCAAAGATATTTTTTTGATCCCGCCACAAATCTTAATTTTTCAACCAAAATGCATGCTTTTTTGGCCCAATAAAAAGGAAAGAATTATAAGAAAGTCTTAATAAAAGAAAATAATTACAATAAGTCTCAATAACAGATTAGAAATTATCATTTTCTGTTTTGAAATTTGTTATTACAAGCTGTTTAGATTGTTATTGATACTTTTTAATAATTATGTTTTTTTTTTAAACTTGACCTCCTAATGTAAAATCTGTCGTAATTTTAGTTATCACATATTTTGGAGAAAATCAGTTTTTTGCTATTACCATCTTCATTAATTTTTTAAATTATTAATAATTACTCTTTTTTTTTCATCTAGTCGTCCTCAGACTCTTAGGTAGTATTCCTTCCTATCTTTGTTATAAACTTCAAATCACTAATTTATGAATAACAAATAATTAGTTAAAAATAATAAATAGGTTAAAAATATACTTTTATTTTAAAATATGTCCTTATAATAAATGAGAAAAAGAATAAAAAAAATATTTGGAGAAATGTGATAAGAGAAAAATAATTAAAGACAACATTAAAAAAAATACATTAAATAGTAAAGCAAATTCAAATTGAAACTTATAAAATAGATTTTTTTGAATTTGAAACTTATAAATAGTATGGAAGGAGTACTGTTTATCTTCTGCCAGAAAAGCACTACTGTATATCCTCTACTAGGGTGTTGTCAATTATTGTTTTTCTTTTCCTTGTTCGTGAATTTTTAAGTCTGCCAACAATAGAGCAATTGAGGGGCATTCATCCCCCCTTGTCAGGCCTAAAAGCTCTGGACAGATTGTGACTGGGCCGGCCAGCTGGGTGGCATCCCATACCACGCACAAATTGAGGTGTTTAGGATGATGAATGAAAATTTCTTCTTTACATATGCACATGTAAAGAAATGTGACGTGTGTGTATTATTTAAACTATTTTTATACAACAGTATAGGTAATATTTTCAAATTAGAAACTTATTTTTTATTCTCTTCACTTTTATCTTATAAAAAAAATAAGTTAAGATTAGTTAAGAATCAACACATTTGGCTTTTATAATTTTTTTAGTAATCCTGACTAAGTTATGAGCGTCTCATTAAATTTTGTAAAATCTCTATAAAAAAAAAGTTAAATTTTGTAATATGTATTGTTTCAATTCAAAGACACAAAAAAGGAGTCACAGGAGGAAAGAATTCCTTTTGGTGTATAAAATTTTTTTTGCCAACCTTTTGATGTATAAAATGGACACACACACACATATGGCATTTATTATACTATATATACACTCTTCCGGTCCTAAATATAAGATCTATTTTGTAGTATAGACTCACTTTGTAATGTAAATTACATTATAAAATGAGTCTTATATTTAAGACCAGAGAAATAACATTTATTATACTGCCTTCAGTCCTAATTATAAGAGTTAATTGACTACTTTGAGAAGATGAAGAAAATAAATAGTTATTTGTAATAAATAGGTATTATTTTTTTCTAAAATATTTTTGTTAATCAAGTGCATTGACTAGAACTACTATTATTATAAGAACTACTTTGAAAAATATATATAAATATGAAAGACAAAATTAATTAAAATCTTATATTTAATATCAAAATAAAAGTTAAATAATATTTTATACTAAGAACAAGAGGTAGTACTATTAAAACTAAAAAGGAGCCTTAGAGTTTACATCCACAAAAAACCCTCCATTCAATTCTATTTCATCTTGTGCGCCACACAGATCCCGACTTAGAATTCTTCCTACAATTTCGGCACAACCTAGAAGATCGTACATACCAGTTTTTTTGGTCAAGATCGTACATACCAGTTTAAAGGCTGTTAAAAAGAAACATTCCAGCATATCACACGTTTAAGAATTTTTCATTGATATAATCGAAGCAAGAAATCTTCTTACTTCGCGTAGAGAACATCTTCCCATGGGTGGCGGTACAGTGGTTGTTTCAATCTCTTCTGGTCAAAAGTGTGCCTGAAAATTATATCAAGGAAACAAAGAAATAAAAAAACCATGATCAGAACCATGCAGTTTGAAATTTTATCAAGGTACAATTACTATCAAGTACATTCTCTTAATAAAAACGTAACATGTGAAGCAATTTTTTTAAAAAAAAAAAATGCTTGTGGTAGTGAATAGTAAAAAGATATTCAAGCATCCTTTTTTATCCGGAATGGAAGACTACAGATTTAGAATTGAGTGTCAGACCAAAACAGATTTAACATGTACCAGACTTCTATCAAATAAATACATGCAAAAGCACTACCGTACACTTAATCACCAATAAGCACAATCAGCATCAGTGAACGTAGGACCACCTAATGGATGAAAGTGGCATTGTTTGAAGCTTGGTCCACAGGAGAGTAGGGGATAAAAGATCGCAAAAGAACAAAAAAACAATAATGCGTGATCTGTGGACCTACCTTCATACATATGAACAAAATAGGGGTCGAGATGGGGGGGAAAATTAGGCAATGAAGAAAATGCAACTCACCCAATCAGGCCAATGGAGCGAGCCAGCACAAATAGCCCATTCAGATAGCCAATCTCGACAATTTCGTCGACCTCTTCCTTGGTGAACATCCCACTGCCAGCAAGAAGATCCAAGAAAAGGGAACCGATTGCACCATCTACGTTGAGCACGAGGTTATTTGCCTTTGTAAGGGTGTAGTTTTCAACCTGAACGGCATATTCCATGTATTTTACGGAAGGAAAATGAGTGTTTGCAAACTTCTGTAGCAACTCTACTCTCTTATCTTTGTTGTCTCGGCTCTTGATCCTTTTTAATAGAGCGAAACCAGGCTTCAAACATTTGATGCATTACAGCACCGGCAATAGAAACAGAATTAGCAAAACGGTCATATCATACCTGTGTCCTATTCCTGGCACACGGATGCCCTTCTTCTTCATACCTTCAACAAATTCGTAAGGTGTAAGATTCTGCCAAGGCATAGCATAGTTCCCATGTTAGTTTGTAGCATAGGCTGCTGATATATGTTAAAAAGTTTAAAGAAGAAAAAGGTAAACAGGCCAAAGTGGCAAAGGCTCATAACATACCCTGTCATAAGCATCCTTGAAGTAACGAGCAGCATCATCAATGGCACCACCAAATCGAGGACCAATTGTAAGCAAACCTGGTTCAGAAGCTCATTATTCACCATTGCGCGGAAAAAATGACATGCTGAATCAGGATACTCAAATTAATCTTAAGCAAACTCCAGAAGTGGAAAATTTGAGGGCTACATTCACCTGATACCAGGCAGGAGACAAGGTCCTTCCCTGCCCTCGCTGTCACAATAGCATTGTGAGCACCAGAGACACAGGGACCGTGGTCGGCACATAGGATGATGCATATCTGACAAATGCGTATATTAAAAATCAAGAAGCTAAAAGATGAAATCAATAGTTTGTTTCACAAACCGATATCTAAATTATCCATTGACAGCACATAGACGTACATAAAGAGCTCAAGCATTGACCAGACCAGTTTCAAATACTATAGGTACAGAAGAGAAAAGACGGTTATCAATAACCTACCTCGATAAATTGTGTGCAATAACGAGGAAGGCTGCGTTTAAACCACAGGAGAGATATAACATCGCCTACACCCAAACCTTTTTCAATAATGTTAGACATGGGAACACCAGCATAGCATGGCTCCTCACCTGCAGAAAATTTGGGAGAAAACTTTAGATCAACTATCATGTCTAAGCCACAAAAAAAAAACAATACTGTGTTACAGAATAAGTGTATGACAGATCCCAACATGCCTCTATCATCAGAGATGGTCGAAATAATATGAGTTGGAGCACGGACTTTTCCATTCTTAATTGCAGAATTAAGGTCCTCAGGGATCTCTGGAGGAGTAAACTCCTTCACTGGCGTGATTTTCCCTTCTTCTACCTGTAAAAGTATTAGCTAAAAGCATTATAGCCAATGAATGAGACTAGAGAAATTCCTTTAAGCACTGCCTTCTCTAGGGGTTGGGATCTTGGGGAGGGTAACAAGGCTCACAGTGACATTTATAGTGGCAAAAGCACAAGATGAAAGAAACACTGCAAACTAACCAATTTGTCAAATGTTTCCTTGATTGCAGCTTCAAAAGCTTCATATGAAGTGGGAACAACAGCTCCAGCTTCTCTAAGTGCTAGATTCTTCGCGTGAGCAGACTCCATTTCACCACCACTTTTAGCTCCCTGACACACACACACACATGTAGGCCAAGAGCATTAGGAATGCTTTAATCGAGAACTTAGTCAAAGATAATGGAGAAGCAACATACAGCATGACCAAATTGTACTTCAGACTTGAAGAGTCGTGCACAGGTTCCACTGACCCATGCAACAACTGGTTTTGTTACTTTCCCGTGTTTTAGGGCTTCCACTAGAGAATACTCATCCCGTCCACCCAATTCCCCAAGTACTACCACCATTTTAACCTGAGATTGAAAATAAATTGAAAGAGTTTAGTGACAAGAAACTTAATTCTTTGAATTCTCACTAGATGTTTATAATTTGCACGCATATGCAGTCACTCCAGAGGTGTTTTTTTTTTTTGGGGGGGGGGGTGGTTTTGGAGCAGCCAGCTTACCTGTGGTATGTTGTTATACCGCAAAATATGATCAGAAAGTGTGGAACCGGGAAAAACATCTCCTCCGATTGCAATGCCTGTTGCAAAACAAGCTATAACTCAACAATAACTTTTAGAAATAGAGAAAGATAAAATTGAAACAGTGGTACCTTCATAAATTCCATCTGTTACCCGAGCAATAGTGTTGTACAATTCATTGGACATCCCTCCCTACAGTCCATCAAGTTTGTCTCCCCTCAGAAGCAGTATTATAGATATTATGTGACGCAAAAAGAAATAATATTCAAATTTAGATGATTATTTGACTCTATTTCAATATTTCATAATATAAGAGTAACATAATTTTAGTATCTTTTAGGGAAAGAGAGCAGTTTACCCCAATTATTATGTCATAGTTCTATCATAAAATCAACAATAGGCAAGTTTAACATTCAGCAATTTAGTTTTAAAGGAGTTTAGCATCTTAGGTTCTTTTAAAAACATAGATTAATACATTTAAAGATGTTGATGGCTGTGCACTTGACAGATTGCTAGGTAAGTTTCTAATTTATCCTGTTATGCTCAGATATTCAGCTTTTCTATCTTCACTGAAAATTGTTCCCCAAGCCAGTTGAAAGAACAAGATATGAAGGGTCTTCCATCAACATAAAACCATAATGGGGACTTGAGTAAGGTAGGGAAGAATACTAATTAGAACCTTCCATAGGCAGTCGTTTCTGAGGTTCTTTCAAAAACATGGATTAATTATTGAAGCGGGAGAACTCACTCCCTTAAATATTCCATAGAATATCTTAGGCTACTTAATGTGGGACTTAAGCATCTTATGCTACCATGTTCTCCATCAAATTGATTTCAGAGAATTTGGGAATTAATCATGATGAACAAGTGGAACAGACACAACACAAGATTCTAAGCTCATATCTTTCATTTTGTTGAATTTACTGCTGCAGATGCACAGAGGAAATACGGCAAACCCATAACAATTTGGGAGCTCTAAGTTCTGAGTGGTATTGTGAGTAGAGAACAGGCGTGAATAAACCAAGTATCATATCTAAAAGTGGAAGTGTATATTTGCAAACACATTCAACATACCCCAACAACTTGAAGTATTATGGGAAAGTTCAGAATGTGTACAAGATAACGAGGTATATTAATCAACGTGAAGAAAGCAAAAGCAACGGCTACATACAGATTTAGAAACAAAGCCAACAGATCCAGGCCTGTACAGCTTGCATTGAATTATGTTGTCAATTGTTCCAGCCGTGTCACCTATCTTAAAAGCCCCAGCTTGAATACCTCCAACAGTGGCTGGGCCGATAACAACCTGCCATAGCATCAGCAGTAAAATTAATTTGCCAGGCTAAATTCCCTTTAGCCATTTGTTCGTAGAAGTATGAATTTCCATTTCTCTTCTCACCTTATTGTTTGACCGGGCATATGCAATCAAATGCTTGGTGTCAGACTCAGGTACACCTTCAGCAATAATAGCAACAACTCTGATTGTTGGCTGCTTCAATGCAGCCATGGATGAAGCAGCAGCACTGCAAGTGTATCAATCATTATCAGCCTATGGTGCACTGAGACAAATCACGTCATAAAAGAATATATAATAAGCACAGACCTCCTAAATGATGCAAAATTGATGAAGACATCAGCAATAGGATGTGCAGCACAAGCTGCTTCAATGCTGCAATTTAAGAAAACACGGAGCTGAGAGCATTTTACGCTCAGTCAAACCCATATATCATTTCCTACAGGTTGATTGCTAATTTTAAACTGTATATTGCAAATAATGAAGCATGCTAAAATAAAGAAAAATTAATGACTGGCTACATTCAAGCCTCCAAATTCAAATCTAAGGTAAAGGACAGACACACTGCAAGCAGAAATGAACAAACAACACATACGTCGAATGCACTGGGATTGCAATTTCATTTTGACCAAAAAAGAGCTTCTGAAATCCCTCAGAACCAGGATTAATGATTCCAGCAACTGATGGCGTCTCCCTACCTATAAAAAAACGGCACCTTCATTGGAAATAAGAACAAGCAATGTGCAATTGTCCAATTTGACGTAGTCAGTCCACTCCAGAGGAGTGCCATAGAAAACACACTAGAAGATGAAAAGAATTGGTACAAACCACAAAGGAAGTCAAAATCAAGCATCCGCTGGATAGGAAGTTGCTTGTAGTTGTAAAATAATGCTTGTGTGGTGCGGGAGAAAAGTTGTCCAGTTGTCATCTTGAGGAAACAGAGGTCTGATGACATACAAATAGATTATTTTCTAGTGGTATGAAAGAATATTAGGGACACCACAGGCATGAAAAAACTTATCATCCTAAAAGCAAATATTTGACGAGTGATGTAGTTTATACATATAACAAAATAAACCAATGTATCTCAAAACAAAAAAAGACAAAAAGAAACAAAGTTTCGTGAATATACATATACTATCTAGATGTCAAAGAGAGACTGATGTCTTTCCACTAAATCATGCATTAATCAACTCTTGAGATGCAATTCATGGCAATAAGTAATGTAACCTTTTAATTTTCAATAGCCAGATAAGGGGAAGTTACAAAATAAGAAACAGTATACAAGCATAGAATTGATCCGCAAATTAGAAAATAATGCAAAAATAAAAGGAGAAACAAATCAAACAAAGTTCTGGACTCCTATTGAAATAAAATGAAGTTCTTCTTTGGCCTAAAAACGGAGTTGTACGGTCAGAAAAAGATTCGTCCTGTGAGAAAAAGAGGTTTAGAAATTTTGGTTCAAATGCATTCATCAACAGGAAAATTCAAGAACTCAAGAGTCGGAAATATTACCTGATTTTAACAAAAGAACAACGACACACGCACCCCGGGGCCCCCCGGGGGGGGATCACAGTCATTTACAAAGGAGAGCAAATGCAGTCATGTTTGGGAAAGAAAACACTCACAGTGCCACAATCGCTAGGAAACTGCGACCAGAAAGAGTAGCGTGACGGGTATACTATTAACAAAAGAGTGATAACAAAACAGAAAGGAAGTAAACGAAGCAAATTCACCATCATAGCAAATTCCAAACTGCCAAACAACTGCTCTAACTAAACAGACTTGGCATTATAACAAGTTAAAAGCGAACACGCTTTCAAGTTCAACGCATGAACAGAGCTACTACGAAACCGTATCCTGCAGGATCTCCATTACTAGTCAGCAGGAAAATCCAAATCCAAGCAATGCACGTAATTAAATCAGTTAAAATCATTTCAAAACTAGATTACAGCCATTGAATGGAGACGAAAACGTAGACTCTTACTTAGACTCTCGGAAGAAGACGCCCAGCTCTTAAACCAACAAATTTTAAAGGAGAAAAAAACAAAGTTACAAATTATTCGGCACCGAACTTGAATGCGCTTCGTGAAAAAGCAAGTCACAAAACTTCAATTCAAATGAAGAGACGGAGAATGGGAATTTAAATGTGCTCCGTGAAAAGTACAAGACGGAGATTCCAGATCGCAAATGGGAGAAGCAAACAGATGGGGAAGAAGTAGAACGAGAAGAGATTAACAGGTAAAGCAGAGTGTACCTGATTCACTGGCCTTATGGAATAAGCGAGGAAGTGAGTGGAATGGAGCAGTGAGATTTGGGAGATGAGAGCAAATGAAAATGGTGGGATTCTGAAGAAGGAGGAGAAAGGTTTTATATAGTAAGAGAAAACACAGTGAAACGACCACGTTAAGTAAGGGAAGGTTGTTAGCTGGGGCTCATGGCTCATGGCTCATGGCGCATGCAATGACTGGTAATGCTGGTAGTGGTAGTCTCTCATGTCTGCAGAAGAGGATTTTGTGAAAAATGAAAATTGAAAAAAAGGAAAATTTTAAAAAAATAAATGAAAATAATATTATATATACTACTTTAGTTCTTTAATACTATCATCTATCTTAATTATAAGAGCTAGTTGACTAATTTGAAAAAATTAAGAAAAAAATTAAGTTAGTTATTTGTAATAAATATGTGTTGTTTTTCTTAAAATATCCTCGCTGATTAAGTGTATTAGTTATAACTAATATTTATCATAAATAACTAATTTAATTTATTTAAATTAATTAACTAGTTTTTATATTTATGATTGGAAATAGTATATACTTTGGGTGATACGATGGGTGTTAAAATAAGCACACGAGTTCCATCAAAATTATTATTTTGGTAGCCTTTCATTTAAAGACAGCACGAACGTACGTGAAGATTATTCTGACGCCAATTGTGGAGAAAGTAAAAGGAAAGACATTGACTTGATATATTTAGACAACCTGTAATCCTAGGGTCCATTCATAGATTTTTTTTCCCCCGTCTAAAGGGTTCGTTCACGGATTGAGCTGACAAATTCAGACAAACTGGATATATTCATATACCTCCTTTGATGTGTGATTGAAATTTACAAGACTGAACTTAAATTGGCCTTATTCATATATTTAAGCAGTAGAAAGTAGAAACTTGGTCTTGTTGGCTAAAATTATACTCCTCCGGTTCTTAATATAGGGCCCTTTTAATTATTTTGATTAAATTAAGGATGTTAGTTAAGTTAGGTAATAATTATAGATATCCCAAAATACCTTCCGTTTACACTTCTAAAAAGAAACTGACATTTGAAAGTTAGTTGATTGATTTGAATGAATTAAAAGTATTAGTTAAATTAGTTATTTATAATAAATAAGTGACACGTCTTTCTTAAAATATCTTTACTGATCAAGTGTATTGATTATAACTATTATTATTACAAAAACTATCTTAAAAAGATAATTAAATATGAAAGAGGAGTTGGGGTCTTATAATCTTATGAGACATAACCGGCACCCATGCGCCTTGTGCGAAAATTAACAATAAGCGATCAACGGTCAATTACGTGATATCCTTGCACATGCAACTGATTTTTTACGGGGAAAAAAAAAGCTTTTCGGGCTTTAGGGCCAGCCTTTTTTTTTTTTTTTTTTAGGGAGAAACTTAATTTAAAACTCCTTTCATAGAGAAAGTCTTCACTGTTTTAAAGTATACCTCTTTTTTGTCAGAGTCATAAGAAAGGGGTTTTGTGGAATTTTAGTTTTAAAAAAATACTAACAGATAAAATTAGAATAAAATACTCCAATCTTCTTTGTATTTTGTCCTACTTACACTGACTTCTCCTCTATTTTAAAAACATACATTTAATTTCAAACTGTTAGTTTCATTAAGAATATTTTAAAAAATACTTTTAATTAAAGTATATATTAAAATAATTTTATTTATTAATTTACCTTTTGTAATATTAAATCCCTAAATTTTGACTAAATTTTTTTCAAGAATGAAAAAATTAATTTATTTTTATTTTTACCAATATTTATTTGTTTAATATTTTTATTATATTGGGATGAAAAATTAATTAATTTAGTTGATGTAAACATAAAAACTTAGAATAGAAATTTGATTTGTTCTTTAGATATAGATAATAGACTAAATATGTTATGGATGTCTCTAACAAAATTTTTATTTAAAATTTTAAATTATAAATTTAAATGATTTTTATACTCTCTCAAACTTAGACAATTTATATTATATGATGAAAAATAATTTATTAAATTTATTTTTTCAGCCATTTAAAAGCAACCTAAATAAATAAGTTTTATTGTGAAAAATTAAAATTATAAATTTTATAATATAATCAAAATTGATAAATTTTATTTCATATTAAAGATTTGAAAATACAAGTATTAAAATTATTTCTTGTTGTATAAAATTTTTTTTGACAAGTATAAATGTTTAAATAACTTTTGTGTTAAAGATGACTATTTTGATCAAAATAAAAATTTAAAAATTAAACTTAAAGGTCACTTAATAGGATGAAAATTAAATCTCGAAACCATTGTAATTTTAAGAAAAGTTTGTATATATTTTTAAAACTAAAAGAAGTTTATAATTGGTAGTAAGAATATTTTATTCATAAAATTAAAAGAAAACGGACGCCAGGAAGCAGGTGTACGTCCGAGAACGTGGAACGCGAGGGGCGTGAGCTGTTGTGAGCGCTTGTTTAGTAATAGAATGCATTTGTGGTATATAAAATTAATATTTTTTTTAATTCAAGCATCTCAGACTTTAAAATAACAGGAAAAAAAAGTAAATTCAAATTAAAATTTTGATGTTGAAGGGCAATGATAAAAATAATCCTTTGTTAATGCCATTAAAAAAAACGTGTTGTTAATCCCAAATCAAAACTTATAATTTCACAATCAAAACTTTTTATTTTCAGATGAACTGTTATTCACAAAAAGGCATCTTTATTATTTTTCTTGAAATTTAAATTTTCAATTTAGATTTATTTTTTCTGTCATTTTAAAGTGTTAGGTGTTTGAATTAAAAAAAAACTAATTTTAATATTTTTTTCCCTGGAATTTTTTCTATATTAATGGGTACTCCGCCATTTATTGGGCAAAATATGCGCGCGAGAAACTCGCACGCTCGCCATATTGAACGAAGTGTCTAGCGTCAATTGAGCTAAATAGCTCCGACGAGTTTGAAAATCTTTACTCCTCCTATATCTTATTATTCCATTGAGACTTGTATTTATTAGGAATATTGTGACTAAGACAGCATAAATGATGACCAAAGTCGCGAGAAAATTGTATTCTTCTTGACCTGAGCTTATTACATGTCCGTTTACCTATTTTTAGATGAACGAGTGTTTATAAAATTAAACCTTACCATGACCTATTTGGAATATGAAAGCTTAGTTATTTTTAAGAATTACTACCTCCAGTCCTTAATATAAGACTATGTTTGACTTTTATTTTGATCCTAAATATAAGATCCCAATTCATTTTGTCTTTCATATTTACTCAATTTTTTCAAAATAGTCCTTCTAATAATTATAGTTCTAGTCAATACACTTAATTAGCAAGGATATTTTAGGAAAGACAACACTCTATTTAAGGCAAATAACTAACTCAACTTACTTCATTAATCTCCTTAAATTAGTCAACTGGCTTTTATAATTAGGACTAGTATATTGTTATTCGTATGTCTAACAAAAAAAAATTTTATTTAATATTGGTGATTGTTACCTAGCTAATTATGTGCTGACCAACTTACGACTAATGAAAAAGATTAATTCCTTGCAACATAATAAATCAATGTTTGAATTTCTGATTTTATTAGGAGAGGTGTATATGTTCAGTGCCCGACTTGAACATGGCTGTTTTTATAAAAAAAAAAAAAAAATGTTCACGTTCTTACCAAAATAAAAACTAGTTATGTGCCTCAAGGAAAAATGACCTGTGGCTTAGGTCTCGTGTAAAAAAATTAGATATAGACAGATTCACAACAAAAAAAAAATCTTATTTATAAGTCAAACTTACATATTTACTAATTAAAATTAAAATTTTATATTTATAAGTTAAACTTTCATATTTACAAATCGGGTTACATCATTTACGAGGTAATTTGTAAAATTAGGTCCCTGATATCTACTCTTATAACAGAATTTTTGCCCCAAAATTTAAAATATTGATAATATTGATAAGAAGAGTTTCACATAAAATAAGTAATATCTATACACAGATATTTTGATTTAATTGAAAACAGTACTTTAAATATATAAAACCAAGTATTTTTTTTTCCTTAATAAGAAATAAGTGAGTTTCTTATCGCTATTGAAAACGATAAGAGCTAGTAAAAATATATTCCTCCGATTCTAAATATAAGATCTTTATATACACTTGTATAAAGGTCTTATATTTAGGACCGGAGGAGTAAAATGAGTATGGCCTTTAATGAATTTCGCCACTGGTACATCACACAGTGCACCCATTACTACCTCTTCCTCAAGCTCCTCTTTAATATGTGCATGCATAATCTTTCTTTGATGCTAATCTTTGCAATAACAATAAATAAGATATAAGGACAAACTTTTCCACTATATTAAATAATTTAGTGGCATGCAAACTTTTCTATAGATAGAAAATCACGAATTTAATATCCCTTATAATCTGAACTTTAGTTCTATATTTGATTTTTTATTTTCGGATTTCACAAATGCCAGCAATGGATTTTGGAGGAGGAAATGAGCAATTAGATAAGGAGTTATGCTACGTTGAACCAGTCCTTGGAGTCAACATAGTATGATTTTCTGGAGATTATTTCTGTGAGACTGATTGAATATTTGTGCTGGTTTTATTGGATTGAAGTGGCAAATTACATGTGGTATAATAAAGTCTTTGGTTTTCACTTTAATGAATATGGTGATAACTTGGGTTGTAACTCTAACTTCGACGGTGGATTTCCTGAGCTTAAACTTGCTGCAGTTTTAATATTGGCCTGCTTTATTTGGGATGAAAGACTGTTTGGAACCTATGCAATGATTGATCAGAGGATGAGAGAGGATTGAAGATGGGTTCCACCAGGAAGAGAGGATTGCTCCGCTATATGGATACTTCTGCAACAATTGCTAATAAACAGGATTTATCCCTTGGCTTTTGGAATAAACCTCTACTTATGGATACGATTTTGTTGTTATAACCCTAATAAAGTCCATGTTAACCTGAAGGTTTTCTATAACTTTCAGTGTTATTATTTCCCTCTCCATTTAAGAGAGACTGTTAAAATTGTTAACGAATATGCAATATTGGTTTATGGAGGGTTGGGCTCAATTTTGAGCAAGTCACTGGACAACCACTCCTTTCCACCTTTCATGGATTATAGGGCAGAACTATACAATCTTA